TAGTGATGTCATACTTAGCTGTTGTGGGGCGCAACAGGGTGACCCCATGGTCCCCTGAGTTTTCCCTCACTCTACACCCTATCGTGAAGCACATCAAGGCAAAGGTTCCTGCCTGGTGTCTGGATGATGGCACTCTTTGTGGCTCACTCGATGACCTCGCCCTTGCTCTGCGGTTTGTCGAGGAGGATGGTCTTTCTCTTGGTCTCCATCTCATTTAGATCCAAGTCCACACAGACCAAGTACTGTAACCTTCGCTGTGCATGCGTGCCAGTGTACCCCAACTTCTGATTGTGATGCTGTGGAGCTCACTATCACCAAGCCTGAACCAACTCGAACTGAATCTCAAACCAGCACTCAGTCTACTAGTTCTGTGAGGAATGAAGGTGACGACATTTTTGGAGAACAGCTTTCCCCTCCTCAGAGCGACTGCTAAACATCTCCAACCCAGATAAGCACTTGAAAGTATTTTATTACAATGCAAGAAGCTATATTCCATGAGTTAAAAATTGAAAATTGTCTCAGAAATTGAGTCACCTGATATTTTTGCATAGTGGAAACCCGGGTATCACACACAATAATTATTATGACAACTAGTGTTGTCTAATAATCGCTGTGTACGGTGTGATAGAGATCGTCATGGTGGTGGTGTTCTGATGTTCATCCCCTCTTCCTGCATGAAGATGAAGTTTACCATCTGCTATATAGTTTCACAAAGTCAGCTGGGCCTGACCAAACCACAGCAAGAGTGAGTATTGCTGCTTCCATTACCAATCTCTTTAGCATTTCAATATAATATAATCACGGGAAGTTTTCCTCTTTTATGGAAGACTTCTAATATCGTAGCTATCCCATAGTCAGGAGACTACAGAGATCCAGGTAATTATATCGATGAATATCCCTACTCTCAGTCCTGAGCAAACTTCCTGAGCGTCATATTAAACACACGAAATATAGAACTGTTCACTTTGCTCACCAAAATTGCATACATAATGTGGTGTAACTAACTGTCAGTATCCTGAGTGTGGGCTTCACGAGGATCAGAATCCTGAGAATGGGCTTCCATCTGCAAAAAACACCACATGGTTGATTGCCCACGGAATGGTTGTATGTGCTTCAGTGTAGTATGTGATGGTGTAGTAGTTGGCTCCAATCATGAAGTGATATTGTCTCCTCAATATTTCCACAATCAATTACGATGGATGACTTTTCCCTTGGCATGTGGGCTCCTCTGGATACGATAGAGGGGGTCATTAATTTGTTTTGTGACGAGATAAGGACCTTAAGCTTCCCATGGAAATATTTTATTACAATGCAAGAAGCTATATTCCATGAGTTAAAAATTGAAAATTGTCTCAGAAATTGAGTCACCTGATATTTTTGTATAGTGGAAACCCGGGTATCAAACACAATAATTATTATGACAACTAGTGTTGTCTAATTATCACCGTGTACGGTGTTATAGAGATCATCGTGGTGGTGTTGTTTTGATGTTCATCCCCTCTTCCTGCATGAAGATGAAGTTTATATACCATCTGCTAGTTTCACAAAGTCAACTGGGCTTGATCACCACAAAGCAGAGTGAGTATTGCTGCTTCCATTACTAATAAAAACGGAGGTGTCCTCTTTTATGTATATCATAGCTATCCATCAAGTCAGGAAATTGCATTGCTGTCTTTTCAAAGTGTTGACATGGGATTCAGACCCCTGATAGAGGCATATCATGTTCGTAAAACACATACATTATACAGTCTACAGGTAATATACCATTGATTTCCCTTCCTTGTCTGAAGCACATATATGGTACATACACTCTTGAGAGTGAAATAGAGCAGAGGATAAGGCTCCACAGATGATTGACTCCAATGGAAGGCTGCTTACATCAGCATAGAAACAGTATTGTAAGTAATCAGGTACACTGTCCTCTTCGTTCTGACTAAAAGGCCACAGTTGATTATTAATATACACAGCCGCACACCCTGGGCTGTTGAGCCATATTCTGTTCATATGTGACACTCTCCTCCCCTAGCCCCCACCTGACGTGACTGTTGAGAATGTGGGTAAGGGATAATTATACGATCGGCTGTACCCACCATACATAGAAGTATAACAGCTTACACTATAAGGCATACACATGTGTTAGTGGTAGCCTTTACACTGTAATAATAACATACAACAGGATCATGGAAGTTAGTTGGGTGGACTCTCCTTGCTCTAAGGAAGGTCTTGACAGATTCATTGGCCATGAATGGTAGGATGATGTATGAGAATGTTCCGGGGTGTCGAAACACACTCCAGGAGACCCGTGATTTCACGATTGCGCGTCGTCGTCATTCTTATTCAGACCCGCTTTCTCCTTAGTGGAACTAGTTGATGCCTACTAAACGTGTCCTGCGATGCTGGAGGTCGTTTTTGCGATGCTATTTTCTTGCCGCCTATAGCTACTACCGGCGGACAATACGCTCACCGCGGATGGCTGACCGGTCCTGACCCCACCCACAGCGTGCCGTACGGTGCTCCGCGCGCGACGCGCGATAAAACACACGTGGTCAGATCCACTCGCTCTTTCGTCCGTTTGAGCTCCGTTTGCAGTGGTTTTGTGCCAGGGTCTACCCGTTTCTACTTTCTACCGAGTCCTTGGTCCTTCACTCCGTCTGAGTCACTCTCAGTCTTGCGCTGCTTCCTTTACCAATAAAAACGGAATACTTCTCTTATCATAGCTATCCTCCCAAAGTAAGGAATGCATTGTTGTCTTTCAAAGTGTTGACCTAGCTATCGGCAGAACCCGGCGTATCATATGTCAGTAAACTAGACGATACCTGTAGACAGTCTACTGGTCATTAGATATATATACATTGATTTCCCTTCCTTGTCAGAGCACAAACTTTGCATAACTGTCTTTGTCTTCGTTCTGACTAAAGGATCGGCAAAGTGGTGTGCTGATTGTATGTTGATATTATGATTCCAGATTCCATCAAGACACAGCCGCAGACCTGTTGCGCCTATTGTTCATTATGTGACACTCTCCCAGCACCTGACTTGCTGTTGGAATGTGGGTAAGTATACAGGATCAGCTGTACGCCACGATACAGAAGAAAATACAGCTTAACTACAGGCAGCGTGCAAAACTGTCCAACTGTCACAATGAGAAAATGTTAGAACGGGCGCCGAGTGAAGAATGAAATATTTTTTTTTTAATTAATATTTAATTTTATTTTTGTTTTTTTTTTTTTAGTTAATTATGCCTTCTTTTCTTGTTTTTTTTCTTCCCTTGCTCCTTCCCGTCCTCTTTTTCTCTTTTTTTTTTTGTCCCCATAATTTCCTTTCATTTTTTCTACTTTCCCCTTTTTTCTCCCCCCTTCTTTATCCCCTTCCTTCTTTTCCCCCATCCCCCCTTCCCTTCTTTCTTCTCACCTCCTTTCCCTTTTTCCATCTCCCTTTCTTATTCTTCTTCTCTTCCTTTTTTCCCTCCACTTCTTTTTTCTATCCGTCCTTTTTCTATTACCTCTCTTTTTTCCCTTTCTTTTTTCCCCCCTTCTGTTCCCTTCCTTTTTTCCTCCTTTCTTTTTTTTCCCTTCTTCCCCTCGTTTCCCTTGTTTTTTTCCGTCCATTTTCCCTCCCCTCTCCACTCCCCTTTTTCCCCCTTCCTTCTTCCTTCTTTTCCTTCTTTCGCTTTTTTTCTTCCCCCAGCCCTTCTGTGGCAGCACTGGAGGAGTGTTTTGTGACAGAGACATGGCCCGACTTCAGGGGGCGTGCTGGCCACATAGAAAACTAAAAGCTGAAGAAAACTACCCTTACAAGACACACCTTCGATTAATACTTTATCCCAAAATCCCCCCCAATATAGCCGACACCTTACTAATAGGCGAATTCACGCTTAATAATAAAAATAATATTGCTTTTTAGAAATCGATTTTCAAGGAGCGCACTTCACAGGTGTCCGTCTTTCACCTTTTCCACTGGTGCTTCCAACCTTGACCCTGTGCTGAGTATTATTTGTAATGCCGATTTTGTAATGTGCTGGCCAATTTTTTGTTTAGCATTGAATTCCTGGTTGGAAGATACAACCTAGATGATCAAAAATAATTATAGTGAAGATGCATAATAGTTTTGGCACAGTACATGTAAGTAGACATAACTAAAAGAAACACTTACATACGGTACTCTGCGCTGTAAGGTCTTCTGATGGCATTCACTTCAAAGTTTTGGGATCACATAAGATGTTCTGTTCATCCCAGTAGTCCTTGAATGTAATAGACACACAGTTCATAGAATGATGGCCGATCTTCAGGTAGAGAAAGACCAGCATTGGAACAATAGGGTGTACCTAACCAGTCATTGTATAATAACACAACAACACCAACACAAAACTGAGACACTCTTCTAACCACGTCGTCGCCCTCCGCTCTTCCTTCTAGCCTTGGCCCGCCCCTTACACTATTTTTCCCTTCCATGCCTTCTTATTCCTTTCGACTAGCCATCCTGTCAAGTACACCTCGTCTAGTGGGTTGGCAAGGACGCACCTTTCTCTTATTAATCACAGTGTGTTATGAATTGCGTCAGAGTGTAGGGTATAACACGGCTCACTCTTTTATCCTTTTTGTCAGGGACAGAGAGTTTGGCCGTGTTGAGTCTCCCCTCCCCCCCAATGGGGATGTGCTGGAGTATCTCGTGATTCTCAATACCATGATAGGGACGGCGACCTACTGACCACCTCCCAACACGCCACTCCATATGACCACTGAATATGGAGTAAAAGAATAACCCTTCTAAAAGTAACTGTGAGTGCTAAACTACAACATCGTCTTTTTCGTCTGATTCCATACGTTCTGTGTCCTGGGACATCTCTTTTACTGGGAGTTTTGCATTCCCTCCACTTCTGTAGGACTCTGTGCTGTACACGTCTCTATCTCATGACCCAAGTCCTCCTACCTCGCAACCGTAAACCATCTTTCATTCACGCTAGAATATATGGTTAATCCTACTAACTGGTATGTATTGATCAGTTGCGTTCTCCTAGGTCACGATTAACAAACTTGTTTTTCTTCTGATTACTTCATTCCTTCAAGCAATATTAATCTAGGCACATTCGTACCAGTCCCACCCAAATTTCGTCCCTCCTTGTGGCATACGAGACATAGTATTAATGGTAGCCTTTACATATGTAATAACATCACACCAAAAATCATCAAAGTTAATTGGGTGGCTCTCCTCTCTAAGAAAGTCGTTGACCCAGATCCATTGGCCCTGAGGGTTAGGGACGATGTATGGAGAATGTTCTTGGGTGTCGAAACACACTCTCCCAGGAGACCAAGCACATGAGATTCTTCAAGTCTTTTCATGATCAACTCTCTGCAAGAAATGACTGGCACTGTTCCTCTGTACTCAGCCTAATGTATCACACAGCTCAAACACTGGAGAGGCAAAAGAGTGGGCAATTATTATAGTGTCCTTTTTACTTGGATGGTTTGGCAACAACGTTTTTTGTGCTAACACCTATCCCATACTCACTTCCGATATCGCCTTCCCAAATGCACCTTTTAACAGAAACTTCCCGAAACATGAAAGGCATTGCTTAAATAGAAAGAAAACACAGAGGCCATCACTACAGTGGAACCTTTATAAGGACCCTCCGAGATATAGACAATTGACACTCTTCTTCTCCCCATGCTAATACTGTGCCTCCAAGATAGAGCACGACCTCTCTACAAAGGTACAAAATTTGTAGGTCCCTTATGTCCCTTGTTAACTGTACTGAGTGTATGGGAACACCATTGTCCTAGGCAGTTTTCAGTTTCACAGTAAACACTGGAAGCATACAACACGCCAAACTGGACTCCTACTCTTTTCTCTGCGGTGTTCCATAGTCCTCTCCCCTCACTATCAAATTTCCCATTACTAATGGTAATTATGAAAGTACATAAATCCTACGCCTCGGTTCATTCACTTCAGGTCTTTCTCTCTGACTGCTACTCTCTTTGGTAAGGTTGCTAAGTGTCAAATTCAACATACTTCAGAGAGACTTCAAAATAGCACGTCTGAACTCACTAATAACAAAGTTGTTGCGTCACTAGTAATAACAACTTGTATTTTTTCCTGTTATTTGCACCTTTGGTGGTAAAGCTGAACCCAACGACCCAAGTGTCAAATAACAGTAATTACCCTCGGCGCGCATGCGCAGCGAGGTACAGTAGTAACTCGGCGCGCATGTGCAGCGATGGTACTGTAGTAGGGTGTGTGCTGTGTGTGTGTCTGTTAACTCTACTGTCACCTCTCGAATGTCCTGTTCACCCACAAACGATACCATACCCAACGGGCGACGAAGATCAGAAAATAAAGGCGGTTTTCTCTCTGAAAATGCTCCGTTGCAAAGCTAGAGCGCTTCCACCATTGTATGGCTAATGCCGGTAGTCGCCATTTTATCGCTGGCGGATAATGCGCATGCGCTATATTTAGCACAGGCTACCTCGACGGGGTCCGCTTGCTCTCGCTATCTTGAAGGCACAAGAAGTCACTACGAATGGCGTGATCGAACCTCGCGTGCTATCTACTACTGTCGCTAGCCCGTGTCAGACTCTCTGCGAGCTACTTCGACGAGGGTTGCACTTTAGTGCTTTTCATTGGTCTCTGTCGGTTTGTTTGTCGTGTTGGCTGTGACTCTATATCGCACTATTCGCACGTCTGTCTCGTCCCAGAAACGCATACCATCTACCCAACGGCGACGAAGTCAGAAAATAAAGGCGGTTTCCTCTGATGCTCCGTGGCAAAGCTAGAGCACGAAAAAGCCAATATGCAACTACGCCGAAACGCGACGGACGGCTGACGCGGTCTGATCGATCGCGTGCTCTGCGACCTCGGAGGCACCAGAAGATGCAACGCAAGGGCGTGTATCGCCTCTCGCATGCTGTCTAGTCGTGTGAGTGGCCCGCTCAGACTCTGCGGAGATGGCTAGAGACCAGGAGTATAACAGCCAGACGAAACCCAGCCCACAATTAGTGATAGCCGCGCAAGCGTTTTGTTACTCACGCGTGCGCGCCAACCTTGCTCTCGTACAAATCACAGCAAAACTCAGCTAGCCGTTAAAAATGTGGTATACTGACTTACAGAAGGCACTGGAGGATAAGAGTTCCTCTGCAGGCATCCTGGCTTAGTCTCGTAGACTTGCATCACGCACTTCAGTGCTTTTCATTCTGTTATTATTGAGTTTCTTCAATTATTATTCAGTTCTGACATATCATTTTTCAGTCTCTTCGAATGTAGTCAAAAATACTCACAGTTCTGTATTTAGACAGCATAATTATATTGTTAGTCAGTGCTTAAGTATTCAGCCACAATTAATATTTTGGGGTTTTCAAAGGTTATTGTATTGCTCTGTCAAAGGTTCTGGACGCCATTTTACCTTTGGGAGAGTTTCTGTGCCATCTGTATCTTCATCTTGTGTCTGGCCCTGGCTCTAGTACACAAGACTATGGCAGGAACAGTCAGTAGTACCACTAGCACACCAAGCACTGCAGCTCCACCGACAACGGCACCTATGTACGGGGCTGCATGTATGTGAATGCAGTTGGCAACACGGTACTCAATGCTGATAGTTTACTTATACAAGTGGAAAAATCATTTCTTTGAAATGAAGGGGGATATAAGGATGGCTTGATGCACCAAAAAGGAAGAAACAAGGGGTACACAGCAAAGATGCACAAGGCTACATGACACCATCCCTATAACTTTACTTGACACAAAGATATAGGGATGGTGTCATGTAGCCTTGTGCATCTTTGTTGTGTACCCCTTGTTTCTTCCTTTTTGGTGCTTCAAGCCATCCCTATATCCCCCTTCATTTGAAAGAATGATTTTTCCACTTGTGTCCATCCACCATTTTTCATGCCTTATGACAACACTGCATTTTCAGTCACTCTGATGTTCATGGCAGAAGCTAATGACTGGGTGTATGCGTAGTGTCTCCAACAACGATTCAATTAGGTTGTGGCACATATGTTGGTAGTGGTTTCATAGGCAGGCTTCAGTAATCAGACTACAATGATAGCTATAACCTGGGGGACAAACAATGAAGGCGCTGGGCAAGGAAGGCGTAACACGGCGCACACTGCCAACTTGCTCCTCGTACAAATCAACAGCAAAACGCAAGCTAGCCAGTTAAAAATGTGTATACTGACTTACAGAAGGCACTGGAGGATAAGAGTTCCTCTGCAGGCATCCTGGCTTAGTCTCGTAGACTTGCATCACGCATTGGGGAAACGCCCTCTCCTCGGCGCATGCGGCTCACTGATGCTGAGTTAGCAGCAAATGGCGTTGTTCATGACTACCGTGGAAGAGCTCAAGGATCTCCGTAGTGACTTGCGGCAAGAAACAAGCGATCGCTTGATATGCGTGCACACCTCCGGAAAGTTTGGAGACGTTCTGTGAAAAATCAACGCTTCAACTGCTTCCGGTAAGGAGCTAGCGGGTTTGACGAAGAAGATGAAGAATAATAATAATTATTATTATGATGACACGAAAATCGCGTAAGAGCGAATTCTCTCGTGGGGAACTGAGGGCACGTAGGAAGTCTTGGGGCATATGTATAGCTAAGTATTGGCCTCTAGACTATTTCTAGTGGTTTTGAAGCCATGGTGAGTCACGCGGATCACGTGAGATTTCACTCGTGTCATCCCTATATAGAGTAGACGCTCTGATACTTCGTTAATAATGGGTGGGAAAAGTTATTAACTGTGTACACAATATTTTTCTCTTAAGAACAAGGTGAAAAAACTAAACTGCCTTTAGTTGAAGTCCATATATACACTTTCATAAGCTCAACCACACCACCTGCCACATTGCTACTAGTGTGTTGCTTGTTTTGGAAGGTAAAACCAGCAACTTTTACATAATGGGCTTGTGAATTCGATAAGTAAACACAACTGTTTGTGGCAGTTAAAGAAAAACTTTACTGCTTGTATGTGCTTGTGTATTGCCCTATGAACGGATGTATTAGGGAAAGATAACCTGCAAACTAAACAAGTGCTATTTAGGTGTCAGTTAACGTTTGCTTGGGAGCTGTTCCAACAGCCTCCTTGGCCCTTTTAAAAGCCACAATGCAGGTTAATGGCAAGGAGATTTTCTGCCTCTGACCTTTCCTCAACCAATCTGTGAGAAACTGTTTGCAGCTTTGCAGTCATGTCAAGTGATCAAGCCTTTGTGCCATAAACTTACTTATGTCCTCTAACAGTGAAACTTGGTAGCTACATTGGTTGAGGTAGTGTGGTAAGTTCTCAAACTATAAGTTTGTATAAACCACAAACAGCAACTTTACAAAATGGGATTGTGAAGTGGATAATGTGCACAAGCAAGTTATGCCAGTGTGAATGCACCAGTCATCTCTGTCTTGTCTCCTTTTTACATCACCAGAAGTTTAGATCATTGTAAGTATAAACAACCATAACATAAGATAAAAACTACCTAGCTACCGCCTTAGTGTTCTAGAGTAATTTCTTTGTGATGTGTAGTCAGATTGCTTGAAGGTGGTTGTCTAATATCCTCACAACCCATCTATGCACATTATATCCTCTTACTACATGGGGAGCACCGACTCATAGTGAAAGTTTACATGTTTAAAACTCACACAAACCACTGTTGCAAAATCCCATGAGACTTCAACATTATGAATGTGTGTACTTTTGCTATAGTTTGTTTACATTCACTAAATCCTATTTAGCTAAAAGAACATGCAATGTGTTATGACATGTAATGTCAGGCTTCACCTATAGCATGCATTGATCCCTATTGTGCAGCTCAACACCATCTTCCGTGAACACAACTGGCAGCAGGACAAAAATATCATAAAAGACTAATCCTAGGCCTTATCTTGGACTATGTGGGAATGCTGAACTGTGTAGAACAAGGCAGGCCTGGGATTAAATGGAGGTTTGCATTTATAAATACATAATAAGGCAAGGTATATACTAATTTATGAAGTGCACCACATAACATAAATGTGTACTTATAGGGACAGAAAATGGAGACATGTGCTTTTTTAACTGTAATAAACGTTCACACATGTTGTGTCAAAGAGGATGGCCTTTCTCTTGGTCTCCATCTCATTTAGATCCAAGTCCACACCGACCAAGTACTGTAACCTTCGCTGTGCATGCGTGCCAGTGTACCCCAACTTCTGATTGTGATGCTGTGGAGCTCACTATCACCCAGCGTGAACCAACTCGAACTGAATCTCAAACCAGCACTCAGTCTAGGGATGAAGGTGACGACATTTTTGGAGAACAGCCTTCCCGTGCTAATGCAGGGCGACTGCTAAACATCTCTATCCCAAATAAGCACTTGAAAATATTTTACTACAATGTAAGAAGCTATATTCCATGAGTTGAAAATTTAAAATAGTCTCAGAAATTGAGTCACCTGATATTTTATGCATAGTGGAAACCCGGGTATCAAACGCAATATTATGTGTACCGTGTGATAGAGATGGACCCAGACTGAACACCACCATACACGTCACTCCATACGACCACTTGCATATGGAGTAAGAAAGGAACCCCTAGCTAAAAGTAACTGTGAGTGCTTGAAACTTACAACATCGGTCTTTTCGTTACTGATTCCATCGTTCAGTGTCTCTAGAGACATCTATTTTACTGGGAGTTTTGCATTACCTCCACTTCTGTAGTACTCTGTGCTGTACACATCTCTAGCCAGCCCAAAGTCTCCTACCAGCACCGTACCATCTTCATTCACCGTAGAATAGATGGTTAAAATCTTACTAACTGGTATAGTATTGAGCTTACATGCAGTTGCGTGCTGCCAGGTCACGATGAACAAACTTGTTTTCAGTCAGATACTTCATTCCTTCAGTAATATCTATGCACATTCGTACCAGGTCAATACGGACACACAGTATTATTGTAGCCTTTACACTGTAATAATAACATACAACAAGAAAATCATCAAAGTTAATTGGGTGGACTCTCCTTGCTCTAAATGTTCCGGGGTGTCTTGACAGATCAATTGGCCATGAAGGGTAGGACGATGTACGGAGAATGTTCCGGGGTGTCGAAACACACTCCCAGGAGACCAAGAACATGCGGATGCTTCAAGTCCTTCATGATCAGACTCTCTGCAAGAAATGACTGCAACTGTTCCTCTGTATATATATACTCAGTCCTGAATGTATCACACAGCTCATACACTAGAGAGGTCAAAAGAGTGGGCAATTATTATAGTGTCTTACGTTTGATGGTTTTGATGGCAACCACAGTTTTTGTGCCACCTATCTCCATACTTCCTGAGTATACCTTCCCAAATGCACCTGTTGAAAGAACTTCCCTAAACAGTGAAAATGCACTGCTTAAATGGAAAGAAGAGCACAGAGGCAATGCACTGCAGTGGAACCTTTGATAAGGGACCCTCCGAGATATAGATGACCCCTCTACAATTGACATTTTCTTCATCCCCATGCTAATACTTTAGTGCCTCCAAGATAGAGCGACCTCTCTATATACAAGGGACAAAATTGTAGTCCCTTATGTCCCTTGTTAACTGTACTGAGTTGTATGGGAACACCTTGTCCTAGGCAGTTTTCAGTGTCCACAGTAACACTGGAAGCATACAACTGAACCGCCAAACTGGAGCTCTACTCTTTCTCTGCTAGTGTTCATATCCTCTCCTCACTATCAAATTCACAATTACCTATGAAGAGTAAATAAATCCTATGTTCTAGTTCAACTCACATTCAGGTCTTTCTCTCTGACTGCTAACTTCTCTTTGTAGGTTGCTAAGTGTCAACTTGAAACATAACATGTCAGAGAGACTTCAAAATAGCACGTCTGAACTCAATAATAACAACAGTTGTCGAAACTGATTAATAATCACAGGATTTCCTATTATTTTGCACCTTTGGGTGGGTAAAGAAGAAAATAGCTGAACCCACCCAAAGGTTCAAAATAACAGGTAATTCTGTTATTATTGAGATTCAGCAATTATTATTGTAGCGTGGCTTCAGCGCGTTCAACCGTTTTCTCGGGTATAGTAATACCGATAGAGATCGAGCACACATATGAATTTAGCAAGGTGCTTTTATAGTGTGTAAGTGTAAGGGGCGAGATATACAGGGGAACAGGATGACATGTGGGTATGTAAGTCAGGGGCAGGCGAGGGATTTTCAGGGGTGCGTGACACAACGTGGTTGGAGTCATGTAGCTCCTGTTATCCACCTGTTACACTGTCTCTCTCCCAATGAGGAATCCACCCCGGATTTAGTCTGATTGTGGTAATAATCTGGAGGTCTCCTCTGTCTTGCTGGGTATCTGCGAGGCGGAGGGGGCGGCGCAGCCGGTGGACGAAGGGAGCATCCCTGTCCCATCAAATTGGGTGCTGCAGGAGGCGTAGGTAAATCACTGCCGTTATCTTCCACCAGTTCCAACGATGTCCCCACTGCGGGTTGTGAGATGACTTGGTTTGCTTCTGTTGGGTCTCTTAATGTCTGATGTAGTGTTTGTGGGCAAACTCGTTGAGGGCGCGGCTTTAAGCGATTGAAGTGCACCACTACACGCCGATTGTTCTTTAGATGCTGAATGCGGTAAGTGGCCTCCGAGATCCTCTTTAGAACACGGTAAGGTCCTTTCCAGGGTAGGAACAGTTTCTTCGAGTGTCCTTGCGGTATAGCTGGAGAGTGTAGCCAGACATATTCTCCCTTATTGAATGGATCTCCATGTATTCTCTTGTCATAGAAATCTTTTTCCCTCTTCAAACTGCACCCCATTTTATGGCGGACTTGTTGGTAGGCTTCCTCGAGACCCTCCTTCAGTTGAGCGGCATATTTTGCGACTGGCATTGATGGAGATGGGGCCCCATACATTAGGTCGATAGGCACTTTTGCTTGACGACCGAACATCAAGTAAAAAGGGGTATACCCTGTCGTGGCTTGTACGCTGCTATTATATGCCATACAGAGGCTCCTGAGATGACTCTCCCATTGGTCAGGATGGTCGCTGGTAGCCATAGCCATCATACTCAGGAGTGTACGGTTGACACGCTCAACCAGGCCGTCTGATTGCGGGTGATACGGGGTTGTTCTGGTTTTGACAATTTCCAACAGGCGGCAGATTTTGGATATCACATCAGACTCAAAATTGCGGCCCTGGTCAGAGTGCAACTGTTCGGGGAGGCCAAAGCGAAAGAAAATTTCGTTTGTCAGCCTGTGGGCTACAGTAGTGGCCAATTGATCCCGAATGCCGAAGGCTTCAACCCACCGAGTAAAATAATCGCTCACCACGAGTATGTACCGATTTCCCTGGGAAGAAATTGGGAATGGCCCCATGATGTCCATTGCTACCATTTGGAGTGGGTATCCCGTTTTGATAGGTATTAGAGGTGCTCGTGATCTTGGTGATGGTGCCTTCCGAGAGGCACAAACTGCGCAAGTTTGGCACCAATTCCTCACATCTTCATAATGGCCCGGCCAGTAGAAACGCTCCTTTAGGCGGTTTAGCGTCTTGTCTATCCCCAAGTGGCCTCCAGCAATACCTTCGTGCAGGGTACGGAGGATTTCCGCCTGCAATTTGTTTGGTATAACCTGCTGGACATGATTCTTCTGGTCATTCGCTTGTGCATAGAGCCGGCAGAGAACACCATTGCAGACTTGTAGTTGATCCCAAATCTGTATCAGACGTCTGGTGTATCGGCTTGCTTCACCCATATCCAAGGGGGTAGGTTTATGGCCAGACTCTTTTCCAAGCAGTAGCGGCCCTAATAGAGGGTCTGCCAGCTGCGCTGCGCGAAGATCATCAGTTTGAACGGCGGGTGGGCGGACATCTGTAGTAAGGATATTCGCTGTATGGCAGGGTTGCTCATGTGTGGCCCGTCCGCACTGACTGCATGGAAGGCGAGAGAGTGCAAGACAAGTAGTTGGTGGAACATTTCTTTTTGTTCTGCTGTTAACTCTGTGCCAGAGCCGTTGACAAGATCCCACAATATGGCATGTTTCCGCGCGGTGACCTCCTGGTTGCTGGACTCAGCTGGGCGGAACTCCACTTGGCACACCGATTCGGCTGCGGTGTACTCCAATATCGCCACTTCTTTACCAGCGTAGATCAGTGCAGGTTCAGATGTGGTATTGATGAGTCTCACTGGGACCCCTTCTGAAATGGGGCAGACCAGGGCACGGGCTGAAACAACTCCGACGGGCTTCTTGAGGCTGTTCTCGAGTGTCCAAGTTAGGCCTGGGTGTACTGGATCCTCGAGATGGGCCATGACCTCTAGTTCACTGTAGGCTGGAACCGAAATATTCCTCTGCACCTTCACTTTGATCTGCCCCAAAGAGGTTGGTGATTGGGTAGATTGTCGCAATGGCAGGTGACTCCTGAGCCTGTAGAGTACGCGCTTCTGGGTTGATCACAGCTCTCTGGTCCTTCAGAAGTCCAGACTAGATCATGCTGTGTGGTGAGGGACTAACGACAGCCACATCTACGGGAAGTTTTTCCGTGAGCTGTAGGTCCAGCGACGCGGGGCCAGTGGGTCTTGAGAGAGAGTAGAGCCGGCGCACTCACGGACCAACGCCAAACTGGAGTTGGATCAGTTGGAGGCCTTGCGAGGGAGGTTTTGAGGATCCTCCCATGTCTTCCTTCCGGAGCAGGGTGACCGCTGCCCCTGTGTCCAGCAGGAACGTGAGATCGACGTCGTTATTCGGGACCAAATAGCTTGTATCCTCTTACAGGGAGACGGGGCATAGATCCATTTTGATCTAGAACGAGCCGCTGTTGCGGGTTCCATTCGGCGACAGGCTCTCTACACACGCAAGGGCCGGAGTTTCCCTGTGGCCTTGCCGGTGGTCCGCTGTCTGAAAAAGCAGCTGCCTGATCAATTCCTGGGGCAATGTGCCTCGGCCGCGCACGTTCAGGCAAACTACCGTCGCTCTGCGAGTGGGTCGTGACATCCACCGTGCCGCCTGGTGCTCTCATCCATGACCCCGATCCGTGGCGTGCTGCTTCTCTAGAGGTAGCAATGCGCTCCATGAGTCTCTCCATCCTCGTGTCAGCTGCGCTGTGGGCAGTTGTGTACTGCAGCGACTAACTCTTGCGGCTTCGAGCGTACTATCGTCGCCATGCTTCAGCGCTGGAGTCGCTGAACTCCGTTGGTCGCGTGGCGGCGTAGGATTCCATCTCTCAGAGTTGCCGCGACGGCATTGTCACACGGTTTTAGGCTGTCTGTTTCACGCCAAAGGCGACTTGAGGCTGCTGCTCCAGTTGCTCGCAGATATCTCTGCAGAGCAGGGACATTCCCTCGCTGCGACTTGTAGGTCGGGTATGCATGTCAGCGAGGGAGAGCAGATCGGCAGCGAGGTCGGCCAGTTCTCCGTCGGTTCTATCTGTTTCTTCCGACGAGCATCCGAACTCGGCTTGATCTGATACGAGATCAGTTTCGGCTTTTGGCTCGAATATCTCTGCTGCATCGCTGTGTAGCGGCGGCGTACGTCGCTTGTGGACTCGGCGGGCAACCGGTGAAACGCCCGCTGTGCTCGACCGTCAGACGTATATACCCATAGCCATTTCACATATCGTCGGCGGACCAGAGTTAACTCAGCAGTCCACACATCTCGAAGTGGAGTCTCCATCTCGTCCACGACGTCTCTCCGCTAAGGGGTCGTGGCAGACAGAACCACCAGCTTCGCGGCATCCTTGCCGACTACGCAATTGTAGCGTGGCTTCAGCGCGTTCAACTCCGTTTCCTCGGGCTATAGTATACGATAGCAAACACGAGCACACATAGCATGAATTTAGCAAGTGCTTTTATAGTGTTGGCAGTGTAAAGGCGAGATATACAGTAGACAGGGAACAGATGACATGTGGGATGTCAGTCAGGGCAGGCGAGGGATTTTCAGGGTGT